TCCTGTTTCAACCAATCAGCTGACAGGCCAGTCAGGTCTGCCGGGTCAGTCCAGGGTCCAAAAACGGATCGATAGCCTGGTTTGGCCAGGCGGGGCTTCATCAGTCATGCGCCTTGCTCGACATGCCGTCTGGTCGAAGCCAGTTGGTGGCACTGCACTGCTGGCGAGGCGCAAAGCCGGCTGCCCTGGGTCGTAGCCGCGGGCGGACAGGCAATTTTGGCATGCTTTGCTGGCAGCGAGACTCAACGCCCAGCCTGGCCACCAGCTGCTTAGTTGGGATTGGCCGTGTCTCGTCGCCAAGCCTGCCGGGCCTAGCCTTGTTGGAAGAGCGCCGGCTCAGTAGGTTGTGGTCGTTGTGGCCACTGCGGCGGCGACGCCACGAGTTCGATAAACAAAGTCTAGCTGTGCTTCACAGCTACAAAGACGCAAAGCATTCATTTCGCAACGTAATGTTATCCATCTAAGATTTCAACTTGTCATTTAGTGCTCTGGCTTCACTTGTAACGGATGCTCAGGACGCATATTTTGAGGAGGCACTTATTATCCCACTTTGCGGCAGCACCTATTTTGGCAGCTTCAAGCTTGGTACTTTGCTTAGTGCTAACTATAAATAACTATTTTTCGTTCCTAATTAGGGTTTGGAGACTACCAGTAAATTAGTTCTTTGCGATGCATTCACCCTATTTAGCTTAACGTGATGAAGGACTGGTAGTTGAATTTTCCCTCAATGACATGACTAGAACTGACGCCCCCATTGCAGTTCACACCGAGTAGATCGCAGTTTCGATCTCGACTAAATCTTAGCGACACCTCCGGCGGGAGTCGAAATAGGCTGAATATATCTCATATAAATACATATACATACATATACTTATAGATAATTAGAGAACACGTATGTATACATATACATTTGCATATTTTGAATGATCTTTTCGGCTGCCCTATGGCCTGGGGTTGACATATATATATATATGTATAATTTATCACAATACACTACGGTATACATATACCTATATATGTATATATCTCCATGAGAGCGTCGTTTGTTGTCAACATAATCCCAAGCTTGAATCTTCGCTCA